ATCGAACAATCAAAGATTCTCGAGACGAAAGTAAACGAATACTTAAAAGAAAAAACAGGTTTTTCGTATCTTCGTATAGCATACGAAAAGACAATATGGCCAGCAATTTTTATCGCAAAGAAACATTATTTTGGGGTTGAACATGTTTCCGAACCAAACTTCACTCTATCTTCATTATATTTGAAAGGTGTAAAACTTGTGAAACAAAATGTATCAAAATTTTACAAGATAGTTGCTGAGGAGATGATTTGGTCAGCTTTAGAGTTTAATCACGAGGACAAATCTATAAAACAATAGGATATAGATTGTAAAGAGTCAACATTTCAAATAATCAACAAATATATTCGTCAGAAAAATATATCATTAGATTTGTTCGTCTTAACAGCAAAATATGATTCTTTGTACTCTCCGATATCATTAATTGAATTTGGAAAGTTGTTCAACCCTCATTTATACGACAAAGAAGAATTAAACCGAATAAGGCAAAAACAAAAAAATTCAGAAACCAAAAAAGGAAATCGAATGGTGATACCATTTGCTTCTGATATGGAACGTAATCAAAAACCTCTAGAACTTGGGCGATTCTATTATTATATTGTATCTAAAAAAGGCCAAGATAAAAAAACAGCAAAAATCTGGCAAAGGATGTTGTTAATCGATGAGTTTGTTTCTAGCAAACATGAGATAGATGTTAATTATTATTTTCATAGTTTACGAGATATAGTTTCAGGTTTAACAGAATACGATGAAAAACAAACTAAATTAATGATAAAAAGAAAGATAGACGAGAATGAAAATTCTAAATGTAAACAGCTTAAAATAGATTTGTTCTACTCAGTTTTAAAGAAAACCGAGTAGAATTTTAAATTTGTAAAAAATGAAACAAAAATACAAGTTCAAACCGTTTACCGGAAAACTATTCTTATTAGCTTCGTCAAGCAAATCAAAAACTAAACGTAAACGCATCAAAGTTAAACATGAAACAACGATTCGAGTCAATTTCGCATCAAACAACTATTTCTCAATCATTCCTAACGAATTGATCCAAAATATTTTTGACTATCTATATGATGAACCCAAATCCCAATATTCTTTGGGGTTTACATGTCACAACTTATACCAACAGTATCAACATTTTATTTGGAATCTGTCGATTTTTAAATTTCATGGAAGGCTTAGAGATCCCCCTTTGTTTTTCGAAGTAACAAAATTTAAAAAATCAAAAAAGTTAACAAAAGTTACTTTTCACAAAAGATATTCATATTGTTCTTGGTGTAAGAAAAACTCGCTTTCATGCAAACCAAAATATCCTTGTGGATGCTGTGTAGGTGATTGTAAGAAGACCGAAGTTACCAAAAAACTTTTCACCAATAGTCAAGGAGTAAGATATGTTAAATCAATCGCTCCCTACTGGTCGAGTAATATTTACCTGAGACATGTTGATGCGATAGATGATATTATAACAAAGAGATGTAGAAAATGTCGAAAGAAAGCTATTTGTTCTAAGGTTATGTTGTTAAATGGTACTTGTGATGTAGCTATGTGTCCTTATAATCAAGTCCAAGAAATAATGTTCTCAGAGTTTTATCAAAGAGTTGATAGGATAGCTCATAAACATTTCATGTGTGAACCATGTTATAATTCTTGTCAAAAATCGGCCAATCTACCAATCACTATCCCAAACTTGTAGGAACCTGATATTCCTTGGGAATTCATATAAGAAGGTGAAAAAAAATCCTTTCTTTGTAAAAGATTTAATATGCAACACAAAATTTTTGATAATAATCTACTTCCCATAAATGATTATATCGAATTGCAGAAAATCTATGAATCATTACAACGATCCAAGTTTTTGATAGATTATCTTGCAAATAACGAATATGATATTGACAAATTTAACAATATCATGTTACTTGTTGAGAAGAGAGATAAGCTGAAACAGCAATCAAATGTCTATTCTCTAACAGTCGAAACCATCCCCGAGTTAGGAATGATAATGATAATAGAAACATTATTTGATACTAAATTCGCCAAAGAGCATATATTTTATTAATTTTTTCATATTTTATTCTGTATTTTTATTACTTCAATTCAATTTATTTTCATTATTTATTATTTATTAAAAAAAATACTCAGTTGAATAAACTGAGTATTTATTTTATCTGACAAATATTAGCCACAAATGGGTAATGAATATCCTGTATTTGATAAAAAACAACCAAATAAATTAAGTGAGAGCGAAATTGAATCATTTTGTAATGATTACAACGATTTAAGGTCACAACTATATCATTTCGAAAAAGCGAAAAGATTTTATAATAAACATAAAAATATGTTATCAAGATCTTCTATATACTTATTTTATGATTTTTCTGTCATTGACACCTGAAATATTTAGGGTTGGTTGGAGTCGCTGGGAATGTATTATATATGATTGATAATAATGTTATTTAATTTTATATTGTAATTTATATTATAATTCTGTTCAGTATTTTTATACTGAACAGAAACTTATCTTTGTAATTTAATATGCCTCATCAAAAACGTATAAAGAAGAAACCTTCTCCTTATTCTATCAAACAAAAAGATAACTTTAATACTTTACCAAACGAATTATTTCTTTTGATATTCTTATTTCTGATCCCAAATGATATCACCAAATTCTCAAAATACAAGTTAAATGATCAGAGATTCATCGATTTTCAAAAGACAAAATTTGTGAATCAGAAATTTCTTTGGGGTTATAGATATTATTTTTCTCTATATGGAACAAAATATTGCCTGATACAAAAGTATAATTAACTTTATTATCCACCAAATATTATAAATAGAATATTCGATATTGTAATATACATACTTGGATCGAAGTTGAAGTAGATGAAAACAATCAATCAACACGGCATATACTTCGCTATACTGATCGTTATACTGATTTTGGAAAGTTGTATTGTATGTCATGTGGTGATGTTTTACTATTTATCGAATCAGATAAAGTTGATGGTTATTTCAAGGAGTATTTTCGATTGGAATAGTTTTTTTTTTTCGAAATGATCGATTTTCAAAATACTGATTTAGAACGTTGTATGATATTTTATTATTTATCAAATAGATAAAGTTGATGGTTATGGGAAAAAAACATGTGATATCTGCAAAAGCTTTACATACTGCGCAACACACACCTATGAATTTCGAAGAGATGACGTATCAGAATTAAGAGATAAATTAAAAACAGTTCAATCAGAATATACCATAGGGGAGGATATATAATGTATTTTCTAAGAAATTGTAAAAAATGCCGAGAGCATTTATTATCACTAAATTCGATTATT